TGAATTAGAATTTAAAAGTATTATTAATTCACTTTGATTTAAATAGTTGATGAACAAAAAAGTGGACCTCTGGGACCTGTTGGGGGTTGTGAGTGTACCTGTCACACCCCCCTCCCTACAGGCCTGATAACAGTATCAGAGATAGAAGAATTTACTACTAATTTGATATAAACTAACTACGTCTTTGATATTTTAAAATTGTATAGGCCAAGTCACACTTGTGTGCTGCCAAGTGCTGTGAGAATCAATCTGCCAGTAAAGATGAGGTTCAACAGTGCATGAATCAGTGTTTTGCACCAATTCAACAAATACAGGAGTACATTGGAAAAGAACTAAATGGATTTCAGGTGAGCTATTTATTATTTTGGGGTTACAGTGAGAACTTTTTGTCTCATATTTATCTTAATTTGTTCTTGACTTTGTCTTGTTTTCTTTTGTTTTATCCAATTTTCATTTAGTCTAAAAACGGATGTAAAAAAATGAAATGAGCGAGGGTGAGAGAGGAGAGTCCAGAGAAAGTCTCAGTCCCTCTAACCTTCTTTACATCCCATCACTCATAACTATCTGAATGCATGAACAGGCTAATTGTCATTTAACAAAATGCTAGATGCCACTAGCTATATTGTGACATATGAGTATTCTTCAGGATTGAAAATGTAACTGAACTTGCCGAGCTACTACCCAAAATACCAAGATTAGGTGGTTAACTATTTGCCACTTTAGAAATAAGAAGGAAACTGGTGCCAAAATGCATCCTGCAATTGTTTCTGGCATCGTTGCTGCAGACGCGCTGGTCAACTATTGGTCAATGCGTATGTGCACATCCATATCCCCAAAGCGAAAGCGGCAGCCATGGACAGCTGTTTCATCCTCATTAAGACCAGGAGCCCATAAAGGACTCATCCACATGGCATAGCCCCAGTGTGTGCTTCCTTGCTGAATTTGGTCTTGAAGATATTTACGTTGACAAATTGTATGAAGCAATCTTGAAGTCCATGTTTTCCAATTTTAAGAAAGCATTCACTATTAATAATTTTCACTCAACACTATGATTTTAATGAAAGTAAATCTGCAAAATATTGACAGTCATTCCAACAGCCGAGTTACCTTCTCATTTGTAAAGTGGGGAATGGAGTTTGTCACTCCAAGATGTTCAAACTATATAGTACTGTGTGTAGGGAAACTGGTGGCTGCTTGCCAGAGGCAGCCACACATGCAGGGCTCAAAAAAAGTCCCATCTGGTTGTCTGGGACGAGCAGATTTTCTTATTGAGCACGCAAATTTTTAACCTCCTTTGTCCAATGTGCAAGGGTGGGTTCAGGCAAGCCATCTGGTATTATAATCATCAGCTAAGACAAGCAAGTACTGGCCCTGGGCTGGCAATCAAAAATATGTGAGAGCTGCTTGTCCTAAGGACAAGCTGCAATTTAAGCTTTTTTCAAGCCCTTATATGGACTTTTGATGTTGAATATTAATCCTTTTTAATATGAATCGAGACACAAAGGGATTCTAGCTAGGAGTCCTGTTTAGGATCAGGCAGAAAACATAAGCTATGTTTAGCTAAGAACGCATGTAAGTCAATAGGACTAAATGTAGCCAATAAATAACAATTATTCACCGAAGTGGAGGTGGCTAGTCCTGGATATTTACCGAACTGCGAAGCAGTGAGGTAAATATCCAGGACTAGCCACCGACACTGAGGTGAATAATTGTTTTAGTATATACTAAAACAGTGAGATAATTGAGCACAAAAATGATGATTCTTAACTCAAATACTGTTGCCAACGATTACAATTTTGGCGCGTAATGAC